TGTGTGTGTGTGTGTGTGTGTGTGTGTGTGTGTGTGTGTGTGAGAGAGAGAGAGAGAGAGAGAGAGAGAGAGAGAGAGAAAGTGCTGTCTGTATCCGCTTTCTCAACACACCAGCTGAGTTGAGTTGGGACAAAAATTGTCTGGCCCATAAAATCGGGAAATTAACTCTCTGGTCTTTGTACAGATGGTGTTTGTGGACTGCTCCTTAAGAGCCTGATCCTTGATTGCAGTATTCTTGACTCTGCCATCTGTGAGTTTTGGGATCTTTGGGCACAGAGCCAGTTACCTCATCTGCAAAGTCAGATATCAGCACCTACTTGTGTAGGACTGTTGTGATGAATTCATGAGTTAGTATCTACAAAATACTTTGTGATCAGTGTCTTGCTTGGCACCTGATTGTGCCATATAAAGGCTCATTCAATAAAAACAAAATAGGTACCCTTCACATCAATAGTAGGCAGGCATCTGTGAGACAGCAAAAAGCCCAGTTTGGGGCTGTGATTAGGGATGCTCCACTTCATAGAGTTCACCGCACATATTGAGATTATTTCCAGTCTACAGTCACTGCTTGGTCCTAGTCCTTTACTCTTTGAGCGAATTGGCCGTGTCTTGAATTACAAAATATACAAGGCAACATTGCAGTACTGGGGTTTGAACTCAGGCCTTAGGCTTGCTTGCGGGTGGGGTTAGGGTCTATGACTTGAGCAGCCCATTCACCCTTTCTGCTTTAGCCTTTATTTTTCATGTAGTATCTGTGCTTTTAGCCTGGGGCCTAGTGAGGACTGCAATCCTTTTACCTCTGCTTTCTCTGTTGCTGGAATTATAGGTATGTGCCAGCACTCCTAGCTTGTTTTTTTTTTTTTTTGCGGGTGGGGGAGGAGGTAGGCATAGAGGCTGAGCCGAGGGAGTGGCTAAAGTGCTAGAGCAGGTGCTGAGTGAGTGCAACAACCTTCAAACCCCAGGGCCAATCCAAAAACGAGAGGGCCCTCTTTAACTTCTTACTTTTAACCTGGGGTGGCATCCAACGGCAATCTCTCACCACTGCTTACCAACTACCTGGGATTACAGGAGTACATCACTATACCTAGCTTAAAAATAAACTAAAAAAGACAAATAATGTTTGGAGTAGTAATTGGCATATAATTAACTATGTTTTGGTACTATGGATCACATGATTCTGCCTGAACTGCTTAAGCTGCCATCATGGTCCAAAGATAGCCATAAGCAAAAGGAATAGGAACATGCCCATAATACTTGATTTAAAAAGCAGGCCTCAGACCAGGTCTTGCTCTTAGGCTGTTGCCTACCTACCTGTGTCTTAAAGCATGAATAGGCAGTGTTCACATAGTCTCAGGTATTACTATAACTGTAGAGCTTGTCTTTAATTCTCGCCAAGAGCAAAATATTGCATGGGCTTCTGGTATTTTTCTTATTGACCCAAGAGTTAGATTAGATGATTGACAAATGTTTACACCTTCGTCCTACCTCCATAATAGAACTGTACTTCCTTGTACCACTGGCTTTGGGATTGGTCATAGCACTTTGGCCAATACGAATTTAATTAATAGGATGTAAACAGAGGTTTTCAAATGGACTTGCCTTCTTGGGGTCCTTGAGAGGACACCTAGATGACTCAAGGGAACAAAGAGGCACAAAACAGGCTAAAGCAAGCTCAGTTAAGAGAAACCTTGATCAACAAACCCATAGATACGGATATTAGTTAGCAACAATAAATGACTATTTGATGGAACTGACTTTTGGGGTATTTGTCACGTAGCCACAGCTGACTGTTACAGCTTTTGTGCAGGATTCTGCTATGGACTGATACTCTGACAAAGTACAGAGTGAGATGTGCCTTTTCAGAACCAGAGGACAATAGATACAAGTTGCCTACCATGTACTTCCACTTATGACCACTTCCCAGTAATGCCGGCCACTATCAATGAACACATTTCCAGCTACTCCGTAGCTCCCCTGGCTGGTGAAGCGTTCAGGCGTGTGGCTCTTTTTAGATGATGACTCATCACGTTCTACTGTGAGGTTATCGTGGGACACCTTCAGTTTCCGATGAGCAGATTTAGGATCCAGTTTAAATGGTTGGCCTGGAAACAAGTTCACAAAGCAAAAAAGAAGTGAGAAGCACTGTTTATCTGAACATGCATGACCAAGGGTGTATTTTCAGAGACAGTTTTAAAAGACTAGGAAAAAAAAAAACCTACTCCTCTATCACAAAGCAGTAGCTTCTATTTTAACAGTAATATAAGCTTTATAACCAACTTAAGAAGCCATTTGCTTGCAGTTTTCATCATATGCAAAATATATGGTTAAGGAATTGCAACTCTAGGTACAGTGCTAGACACAGGACACATGTGCAAGAGCATTTTGGTGTCTCCATGAGCCCCCAGTCTGTTGTAAGACAGGGGCCAGCAGGTCAGAGGGGCTGTGCTGACTGGTAAATAATAGCATAGGCAAGGCTCAACGCCATGAGAGGTGAGCTATCTGGGTGGATTCCAGCACAAGTAAATATTGGCCAGAGAGTATACTGAAAAGGAGGAGAAAACAAAGACTTTCTTTTACACCATGACCATATTTAATCAGGCCTAAACACATGCATGTGCACAATAGATTTCAGACCAGAAAGCAGCCAAATCCAGATTTCTGATCTTACCATGTAGAATTTCTTAAATGCTTCCACTATTCAAAGGTACTTTTTGGTCTGCCTGTTCTGGGGCTTGAACTCAGGGCCCAGGTGTTGTTCTAAGCATTTCTTGCTTAAGACTAGTGCTCTATCACTTGAGCCACAGCTCCACTTCTGGCTTTTTTTTTTGCTAGTTACTTTGAGATAGAAGTCTCATGGACTTTTCTGCCTGGGCTGGTTTTAAATTGTGATCCTCAGATCTCAATCTCACAAGGATTATAGGATTATAGTAGCCACCGGCACCCAGCTATACTGAGATTCTTAAACATTAAAGCAACTACACTGAGGAGCTAAAAGAACCACAAAATTGTAAAAATTTCCAGCCCACAAAAATCCAGAAAAAATATGATGGTGATATCTAGGATTTTTTTATGCTTGAGTGTATTCACATATACAATGAGTAAGGTCCTTTCTATTTCACTATTCCTATTTGTGTTTTGAAGATTTAACTATGAGTCACCCCTGGCCATTCTGTCGTAGCTGTTACTTCTTAGACAAGTCAAAATTGGTTTAGAGTAGTCTGTTGTTTAGCGTTACATCACATAATATTTCTAGACACAAAAGGATATAAAGAAAGAAGAGAGCATCATCCTCAGCTCTACCTGCTCAATGCTAGTCGCCCTTCCCTAGTTGTGACACCCCAAAACATCACTAGACATTGGAAATATCCTTTGGGTATGCGGGGGTTGGAGAAAGGGCAAAATTGCCCCCAACTCAGACTCAAAGACCCAGACAGAGACCTGGAATAAAATGAATGATTAAGTAAAGAGTTGATATGGAACATAATATTATTCCTCATTCACAGAACATCTATTCTATGTCAGGCTTCAGATATACATACTCATTTCTCATAAGAACTCTTTGAGAAGATTCAAGTCCTCAAAGGTTAAAAGCCTCCTAGCTTTGAAGGAAGAGCTGGTTTTGGAATGCGGGGACAGCTGAATCAAATTCCACTATTGCATGCTGGCTCTTTAATTTTTTTTCAATTTTTTTAGGCTGTCAGCAATGCCCAAGACAGAAACAAGGAAAAGGAAGGGGATAGAATCAGCCGAAAGGCGAGCAAATGGGAGATGACAGCTCCGCTGAGTTCACCACACTTACTGTTTGTCTTCAACTTGCCAGGCTCGCTGCTGCGGCTGCCTGCCTGGTTGATGGCCTTGACCATGAAGATGTACTTGGTGCCACTCTGCAGACCATGTACTGTGTAGTGGTTCTGCTTGATATTGGGCACAATCATCCAGCTATCAGCCGAGTTACACAGACCTGCAAAGCCAACCAGACAAGTGCAAGCATGGGCGATGTTTGCAGAATTTTTGTTTATCTGAATCATAAGACTTGATAAATTCATCAATTTGCACTTTTTTTAAAAATCAGGGACAACGCATGAATGCAGTGTTCTGTCTTAACAGAGGTCAATTGTATGCTTGTACTGTTTGCTCTAGATGAACAAGACTTAAACTTCTTCTATTGCAAATTTTGGTTTGTGTTACTAGGAATAGCAAAAGTGCCTCTGTCCACACCTTTTTTAATTTGCATTTTTGTGTGCTTTATACTGGGGCTTAAATTCAAGGCCTCAAGTTCTCCTTTAGCTCTATTAGGATTCATTATAGACGAATTACCTTCTGAGTTTCTTTTTTTTGTATGCCTCTACTGGGGCTTGAACTCAGGGCTTGAGCACTGTCCCTTGGCTTTTTAGCTCAAGGCTAGTGCTTTACCACTTGAGCCATAGCTCTACTTTCAGTTTTTGGATGGTTAATTGGAGTGGACTTTCCTGTCAGGGCTGGTTCAAACCATGATCTTCAGATCTCAGCCTTCTGAGTTATTAAGTTTACAGGCATGAACCACCAGTGCTGGGCTTGGCTGTACCTAAAACACTGAATATACACTTGGTATGTTATTAGCTGCTGTAAAAATGAAATGAAAGCAATCACTGGTTCCTCCCACCCCACCCTCACTCCCATCTGTATTTTGCTGAACATCAAATTTTAGATCCTATCAATTCTGAGATTCACAGATGGCAGAGGCCCGAGTCATGTACTAAAATCCAAGTTCATGAACACAAGGTAGCACAGTGTGTTCTTGCCTCTAATTTTTCAGCTTGTCCTGTGTCCAAACCCAAATGACTTTGTAGTTGCTCTCTCTAGAGAGATCCTTGTTTGGATCTGGGCTTGTGATATACTTTGACCAATAGGATGAAGCTAAAGTAAGAATGTGGTGGTTGCAAGAGTAGGTATTACAAGGCTTTGTGGGTTTCTGTAGACCCCTCAATGGAATTTCTGTCATTACCACAGAGACGACATCTTTTAGGACAGACTGTTCATCCAAACAAAAGAGACACCATAGTCTAACTGCCAGGGCAGGGCAGGAGCAAGCCCAGCAGGCACCAACCAACCCCAACCATCCTCCAATGGTACAGCTCCGAAAATAACTCTCATGCTACTTTGTGATCCTCTATGACAGCGGCTTAGGAATAGCAGCACCCACAGGCAGCTTGGGAAAGTCTCCCCAGGGACTGAGCAGCTGCATCCTAAGATGTCTGCTTCCAGATTGAACTGAGGCTGTTTCTCTGGCTGCATCTTGCAGGATGTGGGGGCTGAGGAGCAGGCTGAGGATTTATGGTGCTTGGAAGTACATGTAGTTAAAAGGAAGCCCATCTTGTTTTGCAGCTGGCTGATGCTAGAAACATCTTTTTGGTATCAAGCCCAACTCTCTCCTCTCTCCAGCCATCAATCTCTACTCCAATAGAACCTTTTTCCAGACCCCTGGTGACTGAGCTGTCAAGAAGTTTCCTTTCTCTGTTGGATTTCCTTCACTCGTCCCTGGGAGAGGGCTGGACCCCTTCACTTCCTGAGAGGCTCCAAATTCACCTCCCCTCTCCTTCCCTTTTGGTTCATTTGCAAGTCAAAGGCTCAGTCTCTTTGATCCTGAGGCAACTTCTACCTTCTCAGACTTTTAAGAAACAATTTCTTGATCGCCTCTTCCCTCCCCCCTCCAGAAGCCAATAAACTCTTTCAGTACAAAGAAAATCACAAATGCATGCACACACAGAATCATTAATATTTGTATAGCAAGAGAGTCACAGGCTCCTCCCCTATTGACATGGATAAGAAGAGCGTTTCATATTTGATGGGTTGTGAAAATCCACCACAGCTGACTGTGTCAAGTTCATAGCATTTCCAGGCATGTACCAGTCAGGTTTCACACACACACACACACACACACACACACACACACACACACACACTTGTTAATTTTCTGTCACTTTTTTTTCACTGCCACCTGTGAACATTTCTACCAAAGGAATACCAGGCTTGAAAATCAAGCCTCTCAGAAGAGTTGGAGCAAGTGTGTGTTTGGAGGCCCTGTAATGCAACAGGAGGCAGCATGTATTCTACAACTGCCTGTAACTCATGTGTGTGTGTGTGTGTGTGTGTGTGTGTGTGTGAGAGAGAGAGAGAGAGAGAGAGAGAGAGAGAGAGAGAGAGAGAGGGAGGGAGGGAGAGGGAGAACTGGAGCTTAAAGTCAGGGCTTGGGTACTATGTCTCAGCTTGTGTTTCCCCCCTCAAGCTCTTCCACTTGAGCCACACCTCCACTTCTAACTTTTTTAGCTGGTTAAGTGGAGTTAACCGTCTCATGGACTTTCCAGTCCTGTATGACTTCAAACCATGATCACCAGAGCTCAGTGTTCTCAGTAGTTAGGACTTAAGCTACCAGTGCCCAGCATCTTTTCTAGAAACTCTTAATCCTCCATAAGCTTACTTGTGCAAGATGCAGGAAGCAGCCACAAATACCACAGTGACATAAGTATCCTCAACACACATTTTCTTTGACCTTTCCTTGCTTTACCTTTTCTAGCTATAATAAACTGCATACTTCTGGAGATTGCAATGGGAAAATATTAGGAAGGGTCATTTTGAACTCTGGGATCCCTGATGCCTACAATTTACTAAGATACATAATAATATAATAGTAATAAGCAAAATAATTACTTTTCTTATTGTCTTGGACAACTCACTTATATGTCTAGATCTATGTCAACAGCAGTCAGTAATAGGTCAATGAAAACAATAACAGCATTTAGTAGATTGAAAGGATAGTTTTATCAACTTCATTCCTTTTACCTTGTTTTTAGTTAAGTACATAGTTTACAAAAATATGACTACTGTGGTCAAAGAAAGCAAATGTAAAAACAGTTCCATGAACTTTCAGTACTGTACAACCTGAAGCTGGGTCTAGTGTGCTGGGTGAATGCTTTCAGTGATAGCATGAAGTATACGTCAGAAATTGCTGCAAACTACAATGTGGCCTCTGACTCAACACCATAAATTGACAGAGATTTCACATTTCAAAAACGTTTTCTTTTCTTTCTTTCTTTTTTTTTTGGGGGGGGGGTCCGGTCATGGGGCCTGAACTCTGGGCCTGGGCACTGTCCCTCAGCTCTTCAGCTCAAGGCTAGCGCTCTACCACTTGGGCCACAGCGCCACTTCCGGCTTTTTTCTTTTTGCTTATGTGGTGCTGAGGAATCGAACCCAGGGCCTCATTCATGCAAGGCAAGCGCTCTACCACTCAGTCACCTTCCCAGCCCTTCAGAAACGTTTTCTACAGAAAAATGAGACTCTATCTTTATTTCAGATAGCAATATTTTGAATTCTCCTTGAATAGTAAAAGGACAAAAGGCTCATGGACCAGTAAAAATTTTACTACATTGCTTTATATTGAAGAATGCTAACAATTACTGCTATTTGGGGTTACTTTCATATTCTTCTTCTTCTTATCATCATCATCATCATCATCATCATCATCATCATCATTACTATTGCTAGGAAGACAATGGGGAGGCTGATTAAAAACCACAGAGAAAATGTTGAAAATTTCTTTTGGGGGACCTGGAAAGTTCCTTTGGGGGACTGGGAACACATTATTGCCTTATTAGTATTGGTCTTAGGCCAGTCCCACCTAATAGCTTGCATATAGCAGAGTGCCAGGTTTGCTCTCGGAAGACTTGTCTACCTTGACACCCCACTGTGCTAGGACTGCTGACTAGTTTTTATTCTTTTTCTTTTTTTTTATGAAACACCTGGACTATCCTGACCAAAACTTAACTTTGTTCCAAACTTGTTGAAGGCATTTTAATCTTCACCAACCCTAGCTTAGCATGAAGCACTAAAACAACAATGGAACCCAGTGCTGGTGGTTTATGTCTGGAATCCTAACTACTCAGGAGATCTGAGGATCTCAGGTTTAAGTGTATGAGACACTCTTATCTCCAATTAACCACCAAAAAGCCAGAAGTGGAAGTGTGGCACAAGTGGTAGAATTCTAGCTTTAAGCAAAAAACTATAAAGAACAGTGCCCAAAGCCTGAGTTTAAGCCCCAGTACTGGCACAAAATAAGCAAAACAAAACCAAAAAACCCAATAGAAATTAGATGATAATTAACCCCTAAGAACACCTCATTTGAGGCCTTTTGATTCTGTATTCTTTTTTGTTTTTCATTTGCAATAGAGGGGCTGGGAAGGTGGCTCAGTGGTAGAGCGCTTGCCTTGCATGCATGAGGCCCTGGGTTCGATTCCTCAGCACCACATAAGCAGAAAAAGCTGGAGTGGTGCTGTGGCTCAAGTGGTAGAGTGCTATCTTTGAGCTGAAGAGCTGAGGGACAGAGTCCAGGCCCAGAGCTCAGGTCCCACTACTGACCCCTTCCCCCCCCCCAAAAAAAAGTAGTTCAGGGACAGTGCCTAGGTTTTGAGTTCAAGCCCTTGGACCAGCACACACATACAAAAAGCTGTTGATCCATAGGGGGTTTAGGAGGAGGGGAAAAAAGTTCTGTTCAGGAATTGGGTACCAGAGAAACAGTGGGGCCAATGAAAATGCAAGATGATGGATGTTGTAAAAGAGATTGTCAGCAAGTATGAAAATAAAACAATGAAACCTTGTGAAATGTTTTTCAGGGTTGATTGTGATAAAGGGAAATAGTAGATTGGAGTAGATTGACTGGAACACATTTGTACAGTGTGTGGAAATGCCATAACGAAATCCCCCTTGTATAGCTAATGTACGCTAATAAAATTTTTAAAAAGTAATTTTAGAAATACAGAAAGTGTTAGAAAATTAAATACATATCTATATGCTAATAAGCAATTCATTAACAACTGGAGTTCTACTTTTTTCAATAAAAATAAAAAATAAATGTCATTAATTTTGCATTTGGATGTGTACAGTAGCAAGATCCTTTATATGACTGGAAAAAATCATGGATATTATCTAATTCTCCTTTGCTAAGGCCAGTTGAACAGCAATTAATTACAAGTTATTATGACAAGGGAAAAAACTGTGACCTCGAGACAGTCAAACATGTCCTAGTATCGTAGGAAGCTCTAAGAAGGGTTTCAACATACGTTCTCATTTCCAATAGGGTTTTACTGTGCTTCAATACAACATCGTTTATCTTGTGTCTCGATACAACATCTGCAAAAGCTAAGTCTTCCAAATGATAAGAAGGATGGACAGAGTTCAATGTGACAACCTTTGACATGGAGATGGGGTGAAATCTATGAAATAATCTTGCCAAATTATAAAGCTGACCTCTATTTGATGACATACAATAATAATAGCCTCATTTTGAAAATACAATAGTGCTGGGCACTGGCAGCTCATGCCTATAATCCTAGCCACTGAGGAGGCTGAGGTCTGATGATGGTAATTTGAAGCGAGCCCAAGCAGAAAAGTCCATGTGATTTTTTTTATCTCCAATTAACCACCAGAAAGCTGGAAGTGGAGGTGTGGCTCAAGTGGTAGAGTGCCAGCCTTGAGTGAAAAAGCTCAGGGATAATGCTCAGGCCCTGAGTTCAAGTCCCATAACCAAAATAAATAAATACATATATACATAGATAAATACAATAGTGGGTGAGTAAAGTCTATGTTTTTTTGTGGGAATAATAGCTTTGTATAACTAATAGAATATGGCACCTTGATCACTTATGTGACTGTATTGCATTATATGACAAAGGTGAGGGTGAAGAGTCCATAATCAGGTGGCATTGAGTTCATGAATGGGTTTGTCCTGTTCAAGGGAAGCCCTTCTAGGCAGGTTTGGGAGTGAGAGACCTGCTTCACCCCTTAGCTTGGTGTCATTTAGGTTCGGGAATTTGAAATGGTACTTCATCTCCTCCTCCTTTACTTGGTGGTATTGAAGTAGATGTCAGGAATTCTACAACCAGAATAAAAGGAATTCTGCCAAGGAACAGATAGGGCAAGAAGCTGGGCTCTTCCTTAGTTGAGCATCTAGATGAAAATATAGCTTAGGCAATACCTTGAATTTATCCCTTTGAAGCCTTAAGAAAAGGAAACAGTTCAAGTGTACCCACAATCCTTGACCTATGAAAATCAAAACTGTAAATGGTACTGTCTTGTGCATGTGCGTGCACGTGGGTGCGTGTGTGTGCATGCACACACATGTTGCTTAGGGATTGAACTCAGGGCCTAGGCACAGTTCCTGAGCTTCTTTTGCTGAAGGACAGCACTCTACCACTTGAGTCACAGTTCTACTTCTGACTTTTAGGTAATTTGTTGGAGTTAAGAGTCTCATGGACTTTCCTGCCCAGCCTGGCTTTAAACTACAGTCCTCAGAACTCAGCCCCCTGAGTAGCTAGGATTACATGTGTGAGCCACTGGCACCCTGGTGTAAATGTTGTTGTTTTTTTTAAGCTGCTAAGTTTTAGGAAATTTATTTCACAGGGAATGAAAAACTGGTATCACTTGATCAGATTTCAGAGAAATATAGCATGGCTCACACATTGGCCAAGAGATACCCTTTTAGTAGGAAATGACTTCAAATGTTTTCTTTTTCTCATTATATGATTCACTTATCAACACTGTTCATGACTTCACCATTTTGAATTTTAGATGCTTAACTTTGATTCAATTTCTAGCTCAATGTACCTAGTACAGTCGTCATTTTCATCTTACAACACTGAAGAAATAAATCCTTCCATGAAGACAAAATGATATTAAGCTCTCTTCCAAATAGGAGTGTGTGGGTTAGTGTGTAAGGTCACTGTATTAATGAAAGCTTCTAAGATAAATCAATTGGGATGAGAGAGGTGAATGGGTTGGGGATAGGAAGTTGGGAAAAGTGGTTACAAGGGAGGAAAGAGGAAGCACTGTGCGGTACAGGCCATTTACACTTTTGTCACTTAGAAGCTGGTGTCTTTTTGCATTACTCTTCATTAATCTTAAACAAAATTTCTATTTTAAGCCTCACATGCTTCCGAGAACTACTTGTACTGTCAGAGAATAGAACAGTCATGAGAGAATAGGTTTATATAACAAAAGCACAGTAAGTTGATATGAATTTATTCAAAACATCTCTTCGCTGAAAAGTGGCTGCTATTCTAGTCTGATATACTTTGAAATATTCTATTTTTCTTTGCTAAAGAAATTTCAAACTTGCTCCTCCCCCCCCCAAAGCCATTTCTTCTGGTCCTTTGCCATTTGCTCTAAATTATGATCTGTAGCGGGTGGGGTGGGAAGGAGTGCTTCCTATATTATCCACTAGGCTAAATTTGCAACAAGCCTCAGCAAGAGAAGGGCCCCCCTATATTTCAGGTAAGTCTAGAAATTTTCCCAGGGGGGGTGGGCTACTCACATTTGATTTAAGGGCCACAGATTACCTCTGAATGGGACAGTGAGTTTAGTTATGATTTGGCTATTATTATCAAGTCCTTTCTTTTCCTGAAAATTGTGAAATAACAGCCAGCAAAGTACAAAAAGTGAAATGTATGATATAATCACTAAAGGATAGAACAATCACCCGGAAACTGTGGTTAGTCCTGTTTTGTCTTACCCAAGACACCTATTCTCCCTCCCATAAGGTAGCCATCATCAGGATTGGTATTTATACTTAAGACCTGTGAATGCATCCTGACGCAAAATAATGTAGCTTGGTCTTTAAGTTATTCATCAGTAAATGCATTCACGCTGCATATACTCTTGTTTCCTGCTTCTTCCCTTTAATAATAGGCTTGTGAGACTCATCTGTGTGGTTTCCAAGGTCATTAACTTGTATTGACATTTGACCAGCTATTTTTACTACTTGAGTACATGTGAGGGCTATCATTTTCTTAAGCAGGAAAGACTAGGCAATAAATATTGTATATTTTTTCTTCATTGTCTTTCTTTGATGTTTAAATTCAAACATGTTATCTATGTGAAAACAGTTACCAAATCGAGAAATAAATGGACCATGAGATACTCACTAATGACATTGGCCTGTCCGGTGAATATGGTGTACTGGAGCTCATAGGAGACCACACTGAATTCATCATCGGATGTCCAGTGGACAGTGATGGTATCATATGAAGCTGTGCAGAGCTCTTCTCTAATTGTGGGAGGGTTGGGAGCTATGAATAGCAAAAATGCTCATTAGTAGAACAGCACACACCCCTGAGATAATATTTCTGAGACATCTGATTGTTGAAGCCAAGCTTCTCTAAATAGGAAAGCCCATGAGGACTACTATCCTAGAAATGACCTCAATCTAACAAACAGTTAGCTGGCTGGTAACGGCTTTTGCTTTTCAAAAGGACTATGGCTAGAGCCAGCCAGTAGGGCCTTACTTACTTCAGTTCACAGTGAGGATAGGGTTAGAAGATTAAGCACATAATGGTCTCTTGTGCATGAAAGTAAGGAAGATGAATTTTTACATTTTGTTCACTTTATGGAATGGCAAGCCTGAAAGGGCTGGATGGTAAATGCTTTAGGCTTTGTGGGCCAGTTGCTATTGCAAGTGCTTAACACTGCCATTGTGGCATGGGAGCAGCTGTAGCCCATTTGTACACAGCTGGGTATAGCCAGATTTCAATAAAACTTTATTTACAAAAATAGGTGGATTGCTGGATTTGGTTTATGGCCTAAAGTTTGCCAGTTCCTGATCTATATGGCACCATTTGTTTCTAGAGTTAGGTACCCAACAGGAACAGTACCAATATTTGTTTATCATATAGCAAGTCAGATAGTTGACTTTTTTTCATTAGATGTTCTGATGCCATTAAAAGTTATTATTATGGCAATATTTCTTCTATCTCAGTTTATAGGTGATACTTCAAAGTAAAACCATGATTAATAATCATATCTGCTTGGTGCCAGTGGCTCACACCTGTAATCCTGCTACTCAGGAGGCTGAGATCTGAGGATTGCATTTCAAAGCCAGCCCAGGTGGGAAAGTCCATGACGCTCTTATGTCCAATAAACCACCAGAAAATTAGAAGTAGAGCTGTAGCTCAAAGTGGTAGAGCACTAGCCTTGAGTGAAAAAGCTCAGGGATAGTGCCCAGACCCTGAGTTCAATCTCCATGACCGACAAAAATAAATCACATCTAAGAAATACGTTTTTGTTCTCTAAGGAAATCATGACTCCTTGGCATGTGCTTAACTTTATCAAGAGAGAAGGCTGCTGTTTTATTTCTTTGACATATTTTGTAGTGGAGAAGCCTAAATCCTACCAAAACAATGATTTTTTAAAATGACTTCTACTGCATTGATTTCAGTAACTGGTTTTATGAGAAGAGTATGTGAGCAAGAAAAAGACTAAGCAATCAATTCTGTGTTGGCAATAATTTTTAGAGCAGAGGTTGGCAAACTATGGCTGTAGGCCCAAGTTTGGCCCACTGCCTGTTTTTGCAAATAAAGTTTTATTGGAACACAGCCAGGCTCGTTCAGTTACGTATTGTCTGTAGCTCCTTTCTGCGTAATAGCAAAGTTGAGTAGTTGTGACCATATGGCCTAAAAAGCCTAACACATCTGCCACCTGGCCCTTTGCAGTCAAAGTTCACTGACCTCTGGTTTCGAAAACGGATCCAGGGTCCGTCTTTCTACTCTCCTGTCTACTAGAACTGAACTTGCAAAAGAAACATGTTTGCATTTACAAATTCAGAGCAATTTCTCCTTACACTATTGCTGGCCTTGGCTCTAAATTTTGACTCAAATTAATGAATCACAAGTTCAAAGAGGAAAAATCTATGGAAATGGTGAACTTAAAACTTTGCTGTTTTGGTCATTTCTTTCACTGAAAATATATCTAGGACAAATATCATGAACAGTGAAGTCTCGTGAATTCAGTGAATGAGGTTTGCTTTGCTGTTTAAATCCAAAATAATCTGGAGTACCTACAATGTAACAGTCACTGCAGGAAGATCAAGCTGTGTACTGAGAAAGCAGGGCGCCAGCTGGGGCCATAGAACAATGCCAAAGCATTTGCCTGGCAAGTGCTGAGTTCTGTCTTCAGCACAGAAAAAGGACGAAACAAAGAGAGGCTCTATGTAACCCTTAGAGCATTCTTTCCAAAATATCTGTACATCTGTCTCTGAAGTATTAGTATCATGTGGTGTGACTCGGATATGCCTGAATCAGCAATACCAATGAGGCCCAGCTGTGTAGTAAAATATGCTTACTGTTGTCTGTGTGGTCTCCGTTTGTGTGGGATCACCCTGCATGGATTGGCGAAGAAATACTTACTCTTTCCCAATTTAAATAGTTTGTCGAATTATTTCCCCATCAACTATTATAGCAAGATTGGGTCCTTCCTCTGGTCCAACAGACGATTAAATATGAAGAAAATGTTAAGTTCGAAAGAGGCCAGTAGCGGGGAGACACATGGCAGTAGCGACAATCAGGAAGGAAATGTCACCTCTATGGGTTATTAACTTGACATACCACTTAGAGGCATGTCATAGAGGGGAAAAAATCTTGTTTTCACAGCCAGGCAGGCTAACCCTGTTTTGATTGTAAACCCAATGGGTTTGTGCTGAAAAGTCAATATCTAATTTACTGCAAATGAGAACAGCAGCACACTGCCAATTTCAATACGCACAAAATGTCTACCAGAACTGCTATTTTCTTGCCTTCATGACAAACACCACACGAGGACTGGTGGGCTAATACTCTACAAACACCTCGTTTCCTGCTTCTAAATGTCTGGTAAACTATTTGGACATGGCAGTACCAGCCAAGCATCCTATGTTATGGCCAGGATTGCTGTTATGTCTAGAAAAGGACTGACTTTGTATTTAGGGTTGACACATAAGAAGGCATAATACCAGGTACTCCACGTGGCCTTTAGTTTGGCATAAACAGCCATCGGGATGATATATGGTATGCAAATGACAATCAGTGAAGACTACTTTTGCAATTCCTCTCACATATGTAAAGAATTTAAAATGATAGCAATTTTTCAATACTATTGAATAATTCTTAGAGAATGAGTAGAACAACCTTGGCATTGACTTGGGCCATCATGCCCATGTGTCCAGGTAAATAGTCACTTTTCCAGTCTTCTGTGACCTAGAAAAAGCCCTTGTGAGATGGATCTGGTCCAGGAACGATGTGCTAATCTGCTCTGTATTGTTACTGAATTGTTACTGAAGTGAGCATAGGAGATATATGTGGAAGTTTGCTAGGTGGGTCTTCTGAGCATAATTTCTGGGTTTCAAATAAAGAAAAACAAACTTGGCTGGCAGAATATCTTTCCCATCATTCTCCCTCTGGCCCTGGTCTTTTTGTTTAGGACTTGGGAGGTTGAGTAGTCGTGGTACAATCATGGTAATATAAAGATAACTCAATGAGGATGGTTGGCCAGAAAAAGAAAAAGAGCCTATGGTAGGAAGTGAGCATTGAGCTACTGTTCACCTCTTGACAGCATGCCACTGGTTTGTTTCCGTGATGCAAATAGTCCTTGATGGCATTGGTTGTGGCCAGTTACATTTCTTTTGCTTACAACCAAATTCATTCCAAATAATATTAGGGAAAAGAGAAATTTTAACAGAATGCAATGATGAAAAACAGTACCTATGAGCTCCATAGGACTCTTTAAATTTCAATTAAATTTATAGTCCAAGTGGTTAATATGTCAGATATTGTAGATATATAAAATTTCTGTCATTGTAGGATATTGCATTGGGTGGTACTAGTTTAAATAAATCTCAGAATTAAAAGCTAAAGTAGAGATGCACATGGGTAGGAGATGGCTCAAGCGGCCAATCCCATTCCTCCAAAAATTGAAGAATGACACTATAATCATAAATATTTGATACCAAGTTTGATTCCTTACTGTCAACGTTTTTCCAATTGTTTCATTTGCTCCTTAATAGGAACAGCACATTAGAATGGGAGAATACAAAAGATAATAATTTTTTATGAAAACTTGTCTTACTTTTTCTTTTCCTTTTTTTTTTCTTTTTCTTTTTTTGCTGGTCCTGGGGCAAAAAACTCTAGGCCTGTGAGCTGTCCCTGAGCTTCTTTTACTCAAGGTTTGCTCTCTACCACTTGAGCAACAGCTCCACTTCTGGCTTTTTAGAGGATAGTTTATTGGAGATAAGAGTCTCATGGACTTTCCTTCCCAGGCTGGCTTTGAACTGTGATCCTCAGATCTCAGCCTCCTTAGCAGTTAGATTTACAGGCCTAAACCAGTGGCGCCTGGCAGCAACTTTGTTTTTAATGATTAAAATTCTTTATATTCTCTTGTTCACAATATGTTAGTTCAGTTTAAAAAACCCACACACACAAAAACAAAAACCCACACCGAAGTTGTTGATGCGAATATTATATAGTATGGCAAATCAAAAGAACATACTTTTGGATTTTAGGGAATAAAAGTGATCTGGAGGCAAAATATATCACTGAGTCAACACAACGCTAAAGATAACATAAAAGACAATACCTGTAAGGTAATCCAGACATTCTAGCAATTTCTTCTCTCGGGAAAAATCTAAGGCAAAGGTGTCAAATGTGTCATTGAGGTTGATTTCAGGAATGAGGACCTGAGAGGACGCAGTTGCCATGGAGACCCTGAAAAGAGAACAACAAAACAACTTCTTAGAGATGCCCAGGTGCTTTCCAACGCCGCTGCATAGGACTGGATAAAAGGAAAAGAAATATCACTTTTTAAAGTGTTCTTGTTACACATAAGGCCTTCAGAAGAAAATCGGTGGCACAATCTAGTAATGCCAAGCAAATGAATGCAAGCTTATAGCAAAGGGATGGGAAAAACAACAGGGTCCCCTCTACCCGCCTCCTTTTGACTAGAGGGAAAAAATGCCTATAGAGGCGAAAGAATATTCCTATTTCCTGTTGCTGCCCATTTAAGAGCCTAGCCCTATCACATCCAAACCCAGCGAGAAGCACATAGCTCCAGGCATTTCTTCACACATCTGTCTGGGAAATGGTTTGTTCCTTTCAGACTCACCACTACTCTACTTCAAAGGGGAGTCTCCCAAATTTCAAACTCCATGAAAGGCAAAGCAAAGATTAAAAAAGAATGTTTCCAGATATTGGATTAGTTTAATCAATTACTAGCCTCTCTCTAAAATAAATCTTAAAAAGGAGTTTTGTCTGGCTTGTTTTCAGTCTCCTTGTATTCTTTTGTGTTTTTTGGTTCTTTTTTTTTTTTTGGTACCATATTCCAAGCAGATGCCATGGAAAATATTCATGAGCTATGCCACAGCTCATCCCTCAGTGGATGAACTGCTTCTCCTCCTCATTTGGTTAAAGTTCTCATGTATAGACTGTAAAGCTAGGTATGTGCCAGTCCCCTTGGTGCTCCAAGTTGACTTGGAAATTTCAGCTATTTATAGCAGAATATTTTGAGTGATTCAAAATTGCACGTGAATCTCTGAAAACTAAGAACGTTGCCACCTAAAGAATACCACTTCTGAGTATAACAAAGGATGCCACACTTGTACTATTGACTATGATGTTTTGTTAAGTTGCAAAAGCATTAAGGCACTGGGATTTGTGGGGGGGGGAGGGAGTTGTGGGGCTTGAAATCAGGGCCTAGGTGCAGCCCTTGAGTCTCTGTGCTCAAGCCTAGTGCTCTACCACTTGAGCCACAGTGCCACTTCCAGTTTTTGAGTGGTTAATTGGAAATAAGAGTCTCACTGGGACTTTTCCGCCTGGGCTGGCCTTGACGCTAGGATTATAGGCATAAGCCACTGGTACCCGGCTAGCACTGGGAATTTTTTGTGCAAAGAATGTTGAAATGATTTAACTTTAAATTTATTACTGATTTTCTAAAATCAGAATGTCCATGAATACAAAGACAGAGAGCTGGCTGATAGAGGCTAGGGGAGCTTTAGACCTAGCAAGATTGTCCTGATTGTACTTAATCTACAAAAACTTCAGCTCATACTGATAGTTATGAGATTCTAAAAATGGAAAAAGACTGACTTCCTACTTCTTTTCTTCTGTGCAAGTCCTGGGGCTTGAACTTAGGACCTGGGCCCTGTCCATGAGTTTTTGGCTCTACCATTTGAACCATAGCTCCATTTTGAGTTTTTAAAATTTTTTGGTGCAGCTCCTGGGTCTTGGGCACTGTCCCTGAGGTTTTGTGCTCAAGGCTAGCACTCTACCACTTGAGCCACAGCTCCACTTTTTTTTGGTAGGTTAGTGGAGATAAGTCTCACTGACTTTCCTGCTTGGGCTGGCTTCAAACTAGGATGCTCAGATCTCAGCATCCTTAGTAGTTAGGATTATAGAGGTGTGTGGCACTGGTGCCCAGGTAATTTCAGATTCTTTCCACGTAGCACATCACTTTCTTATGCCTGGATTTAGCAAATACTTTTGTTCATTTAACATGCTATAAAGTTGCATACACAATCAAAATAAAGGCCTATGTGTTATTGTACTTGAGAATCCAGTGTGCTACATTTGCATTTACCTAGTAAGTAGAAAAGGAGAAAAACAGCATTTGTTGCATATTAACCATGTGACAAGAACTGTTCTAATATTTTCTAACATCTTATAGCCTTATGGTTACATTAGATAGAAACAAGTGTCTTGCTTATACATGTGTTTATTCACTCACTCATTCCTTTGTAATGAAAGTAAGATGACTAGGATTCCCACCTTCTTGGAACCTGACAAGTGTTAATTGTCCATAATTACAAGTAATAAGTCCTAAGCCAATAATGGTTGATTCCACAGCATATGTGTGTCCTACAATATAAAGACTGAAGCGCTCTCCCTCACTGCCCCCCCCTCCTCCTGTTTTTTTAAATGTTTCTGATTGGATTTATTTTTCAGTTTTGATTCAGCTTATAGGAGAACATATTCATTTTAACTGATATACAACAATTTTATCTAAGTCTCACCAGGAATTCCTGAAAAATTGAAAGTCTATTTTGGTATTCATATTTGAATAGAAGAATAAAGGTTATTTGAAAATATATAGGAGCCAAAACCCAAGAAAGACACAATAGGAGACAGAATTAGGAAGGCATGACCTAGAGAAGCATGTTAAATGATGGGTTGAAGAACAGAAGCAAGCAGAGAAAAGCACTGGAATAAACCTACAAGGAGGGGTAGATCACACATTGAAGCATGAAAACATCCAACAGGCAGGATGCACAGTACTTATGATGTTATGCCCTGCTCTGAGGAGTCTGAGGCTATGCTATTACAATAGAGCTAACTATTATGGCCCATTTTCCAAGTGGAAAAGCACTCAGAGAACCACATTTGAAAAGTGGTAGTTTGAGATTTGAACTCAAATCTCTTGCTCCTCTTCCCAGCCCAGTGCTCTTTAACTAAAGGGCACTAATGGAAGGACAAAGGTTTAGGAATTACCCAAAAAGACTGGTAAATAGAAGAGTAGGCAGTGTACTCACAAACTGACATGTTGAATGGAAACCACTTTGTACAGGTACTTGAAGATAATAAAATAAGGGATAGGTAGAGAAGAAATCTCACACACAAAGGGACAAGGACTTATGCCATTTTATAGGCACTATATATTCATATGACTGAAGTATATTCTTTTCCGGAAAGAAATTAAAGGCACATTTTCATTTGTAATGAGACTGGCTTGCTACAATAATTGGACCCGATAGGAGCCGCCACATCTTTGGGCAATCACGTGTGTGCAATTTCACAATTTGTGAGAGGGCCACTTTCTTTCCCATCTGCTAGATGAGAATTTATTCATTTGCCCTGTGGTTGAATTTATGGGGTCTACACAGGAATGCAAGGTCCTAGGAGCCACCTCATCTGGACTGTCCAGGTCATGGGTAGAGAAGTGGACTCTCAGGTCCTAGTTGGGAACCCTGGCCTTAGTTGTAAATGCCATTTGGGTCTAGTGAAAATTACTGGTATATATGTTTAACACTGGAATGGATATGGAGCAACTGGACATGATCCAGATGAGAGCAGAGCAAACAATTAAGCCCTTGGAAACTAGGAGTCACAAGGAAAGAAACTGGCGTCTCTTAGAACAGGGAGGAAAGCATTTTAAAGATATAAAAGTGATGCAGGCCAGCTGTTACTTGTGACCTTAGGAGAGATAAGTATTAAATCAGCTGCATAGGGAATATTTCTCAACTATAGGAAAACGACACAATGAAGTTGGTTGGCTAGAACTTACACCCAAGTTATGAAAATACTGCATACTACATTCTTAAAGACACATGGATGGAAACGTCAATGCTCATCTCTAAATGATAGCTTGAGAATTAGCACAGTGTTCAACCCAAGTAAGCACTCAATAAATTTAAGTTTTCTGTATGTCTCTCTGATGGAACTCAAGTGATAAGATGATGCAGCCCTAGACTGTAAGTTGGCAAAGTACACCTGGAAGCCTGGAAATGGCTTTCCTGGCACACAGCCACACCCATTTGTTCTCACATTCATCTATGGTTGTTGTGGGGCTCTGCAGGCAGGGTCGAGTAGTTATGATCAAGACCTTCTAGCCCACTAAGCCAAACAAATTTACTCTCTGATCCTTTGCAAGAGAGTTTCCAAGAGCCAGGCACTGGTGCCTCACACTTGTAATCCTAGCTACTCAGGAGGCTGAAATCTGAGGATTGCAGTTCAAAACCAGCCAAGGCTGGGAAGTCTGTGAGACTCAAATCAATCAGCAGAAAACTGGAAGTGGAGCTGTGGCTCAAAGTGGTACAGAGCTAGCCTGGAGCAAAAGAATTCAGGGACAGTGCCCAGGCTCTGAGTTCAAGCCCCAAGACTGATAAAAAGACAGTTTGCCAGCATGAATGAGGTCTTTTAATGGCAGAATTCTATTATTGCTTTCCCTAAAGGATGTGTGACTGTGAAAGTTCAAATGAATGAAAAGTCAGGGCTAAGGACATTGCTTAGAGCTGTCATTCATGTGGAGTTGCTTATACCCAGCCTAACTAGTGCTTCTCTTTGGATCTACTAGTGATCTTACAGGTATTTGCAGCTGTAGAGCCAAGTAATTTGTACGCCAATGAGGCAAATGGAATGGGAGAATATTCACTCTTGCCAGTCTTACCACTGGGCTGACTAATCACATAACTTTTTTTTAAATCTTCCCACCACTGGAATAGAGGGTATTTTTTATTATCTTCCATACTTGTGCTAAGGGGTTTCAAGTCAACATGTCAGTTTGAGTGTGCTGCTTCTTGATCAATATCACCCCTTTCGTCATTCTCTTCCTCTCTCTCAAGCCGACCTATCCCTGCAGCCTTGCTAGTTCCATTTTTCACATATGTACATTGAATATGACTGCATTTGCCAACCCTTAGAGGATATTTTAAAAAGAAGGCAGTATGAGGTTGATGGTTTGGCCCTTTCTCTACTAACATGAGTCAACCTTGATCATTTCAGGTGAAGCCAGGCTTCTTAATCTGTATCAACGGGCCTCACAGAGAACAGCACCCATACCGGCTGTTGTTTTCAGACAGACGAAGCCTACTATGAAAGATAAGATTCCCTTTTGTCTGTTTGCTTCCACTTGGAGTCCCTGTTACAAGTGTGTGATAAGATCAGCTGTGAAGGACACCATACAGTCTATGCCATCACATACAGGTTGATTTTTTTTTGATTCTTTCGAACCAGTGGGCTGGATTTCCAAAGGCCTTGAACTCAGGGCTGTTACTGAAAGGGCTTTGCACATGTCAAAGGGAAGCATCTTGAATTTGGACCACAACCAGTTCAGTTTTCATTCTCTGCTTCTCAGGCCTTGACAATGAAAACCAAAGCATGGTGAGAGCAAGGCCAACTAGTGACACCCCAGGTACACGTGACCCAGTGCCCAGCTCGGAACTACCCCCCCCCAAGGTGGCACCTGCACTCACCTCTCAGTGATATTCTTGGCAGTCTGCAGGAAGCGGGCATGGTCGTTCTCCTTCAGAGAGTGTTCTGCTTGGGAGATGAGCGATGCTGAGCGCTCAATGCACTGCTTGCAGTTTGCAATCTGCTGAGCCAGTTTGCGAAGCCTCATCACCTTGAGCAAGAAGAGACACAGAGACACATGGTTGGCACAGAGAAGCACCAAATACATGGCTGGCACAATCTTGGGGAAAAGAGCCAGCAGGCTGGACGGGCCCTTCTGAGGTGCGTGCATTTTGTTGTACATATGCTGCCTTTCCATCCCAGTTCAGAAAGTAAACACCACGAGAGGTGGAAACTTGCAAAGCCCCATTGTGGGACTAAATCCTTAGACATGCTTTATCTCCTTGGAGGAGAGTTGCTAATTTGTTTTATGAGGAAACATTGGATTGCTAATTGCTTCCCTGTTGATGGAGGGGAAAAGGTGTCGCTGGGTGGTGTGTACACAAGGGTCACCACACCTCTTTCCTCCACTCTCTGACATCAGTATCCTAGGACCATAGGGAACCCTGGAACTTTCTTGATCTCGGACTTTTAGCTGCACCATCCAGAAAAGAAAGCAATTCTAGAGGTGCAAATTTGAAGCTTAAGTCAAAACCGTTTTCTAAAAAGTTCTGTGTAATCCACTGTAGTAAAACTGTGATGTAAAAGCATTAGGTATTGCTACTTCCCACACTAAAACTCATGTGTTAAATTAACAGAAAGGGAGCCTTTTTTCCCCATTGATTAATATTTTTCCTGTTGAGCAGAAGAGAGAAAGCCAAAAAAAGCACAGCTGGGTCATTTCCCCTCGCTAGGAACGCCATTTCCAGGCACTTTGTGCTTACTTGATAACTAAGAACTATTTTGATAAGCAGTTCCCAGTTGGGATAAAACACATACTTGCTTCGCAATCTCCATTCCAATTCCTGACTCTGTCTTGCTTGAAAATGACCCTCAAGTGTAATGGACCATAACCTCTCAGGCAGGCCAAGATGAAGTCCAAGGTAACCAACCAACTTGATCGTCGCTCTGGCGTTTGAAATGTGCTATGAGCTGAAGCCTTCCGGCCAGGAGCCAAGTTAAAATTAGACTGCTAATTGGAATCGCCCTGCACCTACTGCCCCCATCTACACACTCGGGGATGGTTTTGGCTGGCTTTCTGATAATTCCGGAATGGAAAATAGCCTTGGGTGAAAGGGTAGGGAGGAGGCCGGTTAATCTGTCTTACAGACAAGGCTGGCTGGCTCAGGATCCCTCCAGAATTCCTGCTAAGTCCAAGAAATTCCTGCTTTCGCCAAGTCATCATTATCATCCCTGAACAGCACTAATAGAAGCAAAGGAAGGAAGGAGATGTCAGAACCGGAGGCTTCTAAAGAACGTCCCATTCCAAGTATGTACTACAGCAAACAAAGGAAGTTAATGTGCAATTAACGAGCTACACACAAGATTACAGGCAGGTGAGAAAAATCTCGAATGAAGGGCTAGAAAGAGAAATGTTAAAATTTGGGGCAAACAGTATCTGTTCTCAAGCGTGGTAAAAGGCTTTGCTCGGTCTAAGTGTGGTGCCTGTTCCCCTGGAGGTTAACTGTGGACCTTGCTTGAGTGAAATACCACTTACTTTACACCAAATGGAACTGAACTTTTGGCATCATTATATCCAGAGGCGAGGCCAAGGAAGCCATCCAGTCCAATTCAGGATATTAGAATACATCCATTAGAAACTGTCAGAGGAAGGGAAAATTCTAGAAGGAAAAAGAACTTGGAAGTCCCCAGTACATGTGAATGGAATGCTTAAGCACAACTTAAAGAGTAATTTAAATTACATGGAAAATGTGAAGATGCTTAATACAACTCTAACAAAAACTAACGTTAGATTATTCCTTTAGAAAACTTTCAGGCCTCTGGGCGCCAGTGGTTCACATGTATAGTCCTAGCTATGCAAGAGCCAGAGATCTGGAGAACGGAGATTTGAAAGCAGCCCAAGTGGAAAAATCTACAAGATTCCCTCTTCAAAATAATCAGCAAAAAGCCAGGCTGGAAGCATGGCTCAGATGGCAGAGTGCCAGCCTAGGAAGCCTGAGGCTCCAAATTTAAACTCCAGTATCTCTAAAATAATTTTCAGGTCAAGCATTTCTCATGGGGATGGATATGTCTAGTAGAGACTACACAAATTCCAAATGTGACAATGACTCCAATTTTGTCTTCTACAATACTCAAGTTCAAAGTGATAAAAAGAAAAAGGGAAAGGGAAGAAAAGCAGTACGTGATGCATAAATTGAAATGGGACAAAATATCAAACTGTTCTAGAGAGAACAATCTGGGGCATGATTTCAAGTATAAGTCTGTGTACAATTCCATCTGATAGGCTCCACTGGAGTTTTACCAAAATTATGTGCACAGTCAGCAGTGGGGAGGGGAGTAAGGGGAGACTAAGATGGGGGTGAGGGACTGTAGTCCATCACATGCATGTATCAGAATGTCACAATGAACCCCTCCCTTGTATAACTAATGTATGCTAATAAAACAATCTCAAAGAGTAAATCAGCAGGAGATCTTTTTAAAGAAAAACTGTGCACGTCTGGGCACACCCTCCAACATTCTAGTAAAGAAGCTGTAATTGGCAGAACAGCAGGAATTTGCATTTTAACAAGCAATAAATATTTTAACCTGCAAGTGGTGAATCATTACTTCGGTCAGGACCAGTAACCTAATCTTTGAGTTCAAACTCAATGGACATCTGTCCTGCTTTATTGTCATTCAGATTCTGCTGTGCCTTTCTGTATTTTTGGAGTTCTCCAGGTGGAGGGCCAAACTCAAGTTTCCAGTTTCTTTTGTGGTTCCTTTTAATTTACATATCTACATAGTGATCATCAAAATGACTAATTTGTGTGTTTGGATGTATTTTCTTACATTTCATTCCTTCTTTCATGGCCTCACTGTTGTTCCCCTCTTTTAAAATCAAAGTTCTTTCTTCACTTACTTCTTTGAACATCTTAAGACAATTTCTTTAAAAGTCACTTTCATATTTTCCCACAAAACGAGTCTCTAATGTTGCCTGCTGACTTTATTGGCTGTACTTGTAGACGTTTAAGACTCATTGCTTTGGAATTGAGCTTAGTGTTTCAGTTCCAAGGAGAAGCAATGATGGCTGACTCTGCACTGTGCAGCCTGCCTTATCTAATGTTTCCACACCACAAGAGTTTCGACTAGAGCAGTACTCATGAATCCTGTCTCAGTTCTCTGTTTCTGGGGCTCTCGCAGAATATCAGAAAGGACTGTCATATAAGCCTCAACCCAACAACAGATTTGTTCCAGAATCCTGAGTGTAAAGTCCACTAGAAAAATACCCCACAGGGCAGACAAGGGCAAAGATCTTGATTTAATGAACTAACAAATCTTGTAAAGTCCATTGCGCTAAGCAATGAACCCGATTTCCATCCCTAGCCTATCTGGAGCACTTCTACATCTTTTCCCCAAAAGCTTCATGAAGATTTAACCACAACTATTAAAGCTAGAGCTACTTTGGTCTGTTCTAGACCAAAAGGCACTAGCTGGTGTCTCTAGACACTGTCACAGCTTTGCAGTTTTGTCTTCTTTCTGTCCCCATGGAGATAATGATATTGTTTCAGTCCAGCTGTCTCCCATTACTTTGCCATCTTATTGTGTATGCACCAAGCATGAACTCCAAGTACCACTGTGACCGACCCTGGGTCACTCTCCATGATTCTGATGTAGTCTGAGAAACTCATGCTGGGGAGTACAAACAAGGAAGGCGAAAAGAAGTTGTTTGGGCTGGGGACTTGTGGTGGAGTGTCGATGCAAGTTGCATAAGGGATACTGAAAGATGTCTACACTGTAACCTCAGGAATCTTTGAATACATTGTCTCCACATAAAAGGGACCTTGCAGATGGTGTTTTCTGGAGACGAGGAAGTGATATTGGAGTAAGTGGGTGATTCTAGTAAAACCAGAAGAAGAAAAATTAGTGTCAGAGAAGTTGGGGGAACAGATAATACATCTGGGTTATTTTAAGGAACCAAGTTTATAATAATCTGTTGCAGCAGCAATAAGGCACTAATATGAATATAGTACTACAAAGCCACAAATAGGAAAAAAAAGTCCTTTTCTTTGCTATTTTTTTTTTGGTCAGTCATGGGTCTTGAACTCTGGGCCTGGGCACTGTCCCTTTGCTCTTCAGCTCAAGGCAAGCACTCTACCACTTGAGCCACAGCACCATTTCCAGTTTTCTGGTGGCTAATTGGAGATAAGAGTCTCACAGACTTTTCTGCCCAGGGTGGCTTTGAACTATTATCCTCATATCTCAGCCTCCTGAGTAGCTAGGATTATAGTTGTGAGCCACCAGCACCCAGCTTTTACTATTTTTTTTAAAAAAAATTGAGATGTATAGTGTACAGCTTGGTATACATTATAAAACAATGAACTGTACATTCAGAACTTGCTAAGAGATTAAATTTCAACCCCCCCCCCATGAGTGAAGTGAGGGATGAGGGATATATTACTCAACTTGATTTAATTATTCCATATTGGAGACATAAATCACCTTGGACCATACAATATATACAACTGTAATTTGTCAGTTTAGAATTAAATGTAAAAATTTAGCCAGGCACCAGTGGCTCATGCCTGTAATCCTAGCTACTCAGAAGGCTGAGATCTAAGGATCATGGTTCAAAGCCAGCCTGGACAGGAAAGTCTATGAAATTCTGTACCTCTAATCAACCAGAAAAGGTCAGAAGTGAAGCTATGGCTCAAGTGGTAGAGCTCTAGCATTGACCACAAAAGCTCAGAGATAGCACCTGGGCTCTAAGTTCAAGCCCCAGGACTGGCACATACAAAAACATTAAAAATGTAGAAATGAAAGCCAGGCACTGGTGGCTCATGCCTGTAATCCTAGCTACTCAAGAAGCTGAGTTTGTTAATCACAGCTCATATCCAGCCCAGATCACAAAGCTCCACCAGACTCTTGTCTCCAATTAACCGGAAAAAAGCCAGAAGTGGAGCTATGGTTCAAGGGGTAGAGCGCTAGCTTTGAGCACAAAAGTTCCCAAGTCACTGAAGTACATGGAACTATGTTTCCTCCAGGTGGAGAATGGGAAATCTGTCCTAGAAATCATACCTTCCCTTCTTTGATCTTGGTTCCAATAATTTGCCGTCTTTGCTGAATGATCTCAATGAGAAGATCGCACTCTTCAGTCAATTTGGCTTCTTGACGTGCTGCATTAACCTAGAGAATTAATGAAGTGAATTTAGTCTTTGTCTTCAGGTAAGTGTTATTTTTAATGGAGACTACTGTGTTTCAAGCAATGTCTAAACATAGATATTTGGCAGTACTGAGGTTTGAAGTCAAGGCCTCCCATTTTCTAGATAAGCATTCGACCACTTAAGCCATACCCCAACCCTTCAAGTTTTCGTTTTCAGATAGGGTCTCAAAATTTGCCCAGGGCTAGCCTCTGACCATGATCTTCCTATGTCTGCCTTCTGTATAGCTTGGAGTATAAATGTGCATCATCACACTCCAGTTTGTCGTTGGTTGAGATGGGGCCTCAGGAACAGTTTGTCTAGGCTAGCCTTGAACTAAGATACTTCCCATCTCCACGCTCGTAAGTAGCCAGAATTTCAGTTACATGATGCCATGCCTGGCTCTGAAAGTATTTTTTTTTTTTTGGGTCAGTCCTGGGGCTTGACTTGAGGGCCTAAGTGCTGTCCCTGAACTATTTCATTCAAGGTGAGCACTCTACCTCTGGGAGCCACAGTGCCACTTGTGGTTTTCTGGTGGTTAACTGGAGAGGAGAGTCTCATGGACTTTCCTGCCCGGGCAGGCTTTGAACAGTGATCCTCAGATCTCAGCCAAATGCTTAGTGAGGATTACACACATGAGCCACCAGTGCCTAGCTAGAAGTATTTTTTAAATGTCAACTCTTGTTATTTCCCAAAGATAGCAAATGTAGGACTTCCATCCTTAGAAACCATTATTAACTAATGACAACAATCTTGTCTGCTAAGTTAGACTTAGCCTCAGAGCATTTCCAAACACAACGAGTTTACTGCCATTATCAATTAGTTGGAAACAGAATGGGATTGACAAGTGAAATATATTTGTAATTCTGACCTTTATGTCTTGAAAAAAACGTGGTAAGTCTGTCCTACATTTTTTTTAGAAAAAATAGCTAATCTTATTTTAGAGGACATTTACTAATGACTCTTAAAGACAATTTCCAAGCTTACATCATATTCGTGCAAAATTTCTTTTAAATATAGCCATCAGTTTCAGATTTGTAATGATAGCAGAAAATATACAAAGATAATTTTGGGGTTGTGTTAATTTTATGACATGATTTAAAATTTTACTCTTGGTAAAGAGAAAGAGCAACATTGTACAAATGAAGGCACTCTTTTCTCCTGCAAGGGTATATCTGTATACAATGGTCCATACTTGAAAATGTTGAGACTCATTGTATGCAAAGCAGAGTTACAATTAGCTCATTCTTGGCAACTAGGCTTGGGAAATACTCTGTACGTGTTATTTCCTCTACCACATGACAATCTGAAATCTGTCTTCACAAACAGAAACTCAAAAAAAGCACAGCTGTGGGAGAAGAACACAGCATGCCTGCGCTTTATTGTTTTAGCACACCTATGAAAGTCGTAATATTGCAAAGAATGACACTGCTTAGTCTAACATATCTGTAGAGACGAGGCTCTGTTCTAAGCTCTCAATTGGTACACAGAGGTTATTTGCTAAAGGGCTGTCTGAATAATGAAGGCAAAATAACAGATGCATTGACTTGCATGGAGAACTCAAGCGAATGCCTCAAAAAGTGGAGGTGTGGCTCAAGTGGTAGAGTGCCAGCCTTGAATGAAAATGTCAAGTGAAAGACCCCGAGTTCAAGCTTCAATATTAGCACATGTGAGCACTTTCATGTGTACACACACACACACACACACACACACACACACACACACACACACCACCAGATTAAGGCTTCAAGGAAGATAATCGCTATACTCAGTAATTGTTCTCCTACTGTTACTATCATGTTATCACTTCTAGCAACTCTTGAGGTTTCTCAAATAAATTTAGCTATCAAATGTTTGACACACTAAATAAAGTTATCTTTCTTTTTGAGCATGAAATGAATTTAATGACTGATCATATTGATAACATGAGCACATGGGAGCAATTTTTGGGCTGTAATACTGATACTTCTGGAAAGTAGATTCTTTGACGAAACTTTTGGCTAGACTCTCCCCTTATCCCTTTGTTCCCTGGTGTCGGGACTTGACTTCAGGGTCTCACACTTTCGTTTAGCTTTTTCACTCAAGATTGGCACTTGACCATCTGAGCCACACCTCCACTTCTGGCTTTTTACAGGTTAAGATAAGACTCTCTCAGATTTGTCTGCCCAGGCTGGCTTTAAACTGTGATCCTCGGCTCTCAGCCTCCTGGGAAGCTAGGATTTGAGGTATGAGCCACCAATGCCCATCTCTTGATGTTCCCTCTTAATAGGATTCATTCTACTCTCACAACAAATACCACATAGACTCACTCTATGGGAGTAAATATGTCCTAGTTGCCTTTCAAACACAATTAGTTTAGTCCAAATTTTCACTATTTGATTTTTAGACTGGATAGGCTGATTTCATTTTTTAAAAGTAGATTTAAATCTACTTTGTTGAGGCAAATATATTCTGGGAAATGTGACACCATAATCACCATTACCTCAAGACATAAGTTCTCAGAAATTCGGGAACATGATCTGTTAATTTTAGGCCAAGTATTTTCCCTAGATTTTTCAAAGAATACAGATTGAACTTTACTTTGAAACCAGAAAAGTTGAATCTCTTTTTCTACTTTGATGAGCCTCCAAATTTTGTTAACTCTAGCATTCTTGTAGCCCTAAAGGTAAAATAATAGAAGTTAAGTATTATTCTGTATTACAAAAATTTCACTGAACTACGATGAAGTTTTTCACAGTTTTGATGTTTCATAGTATCATTAAAATGTTAACGATCTGATTGGATTTCATTTCTTATACGAAGCATTAATTCAAATATAGTAGAGTTTATGGGTTTCGTGCAATATATTCAGGTGTTCCAGGTTCTTGGATTTGGTTTAGAAGGTTGCAGCTCCTTTCATTTTGGATTCACAACTTTTGAATCAGAAATCAAATTGTGATGATAGACATGCTCTGAGTAGGGCCAATCTGAGGATGCATGAAATAACCCTTTTTCCTACACTTCCAAGTTTGTGTTATCCAGCTCCTCCTTAGTGTCTAAATGAAAGGCAGTAGTGGGACAGAAAAAATTAGGAATGATGCCTAGCTATGGGCGACTACTGTATCCCAGTTTTGAAACATGCTAAAAGTGGGGTAATACTCCTTCATTCAGAGCCCATGGCTTCTCAGGACAAAATACAGCTGAAAATGGACCTCTGTCCATGTCAGCGCCCTCACGGCTAGCTTTCTATCAAGTATAGAGATGAATATTATTATCACATCAGCCCCACGTTCTGACACTCAGTTGTTTTTGTCTTGCTCCTCATTGGGCCTCTGATATGTACTGAGCATGCACTCTCTCTCCATCTTATAAACAGCTTCTTTTCGCCTGAAATGCATCATCATCTCCTCAGGGTTATCTTTTATTCCTTAGTACCAACTTCATCTCTTTGCACATACTCTAGTTCATGCTGTTACAGTTAAGAGCCAATCTCTATTCTTTCTCAACTGCAAATGTATTCTCATCTCTTTTTACTGACTCTCACACATTATGTGATGTTGAAGTGTCTTAGCCAATCCCACACCAGCTCAAGTCCTGCCTACTTTTACAAAACACTTCAAACTCTTCTTGGAAAGGGTAGCACTATCATCCAGCCAGTCTATCATTCAGCACTGACTAGTGTTCGTTTAGTCACTATAGCTAGTGAGTTTTCACAGTGGATCAGTAAGTGCTGCACATAGGGTAGGCGGGAAGATAGAGGTCCGCACCTAACAATAGTTCGGGATGGGCTATGTCCATGTTCACAGACTCTATAGCCTAAAATTCCTGTAAGTCACAAACATAGCTGTCTGCTATGTCCGTAACTGACTGAAGTATTTTGGGAGGGGGAAGGGTAGACTTGGAAGGGAAATTACATAAGGAGGACACAGCAGAAGTCTTGCCTGTAGGGAGTTGCTAACCCAATTCCTGCTATTCCTCGGGGGATTTTACTGCTCCTCAGACCGTGACATTGTGATCCTTTACAGTGTGAATGAAAGGAGAAAGCTGAATCATGAAGTGGGCACAGAAGAGGAGCACTCAGGCCTGGCCCTTGTGGCCCACAGATCCCACAGATCCAATCCAACAGTAAAGTGTGCTCTGCTCTAGCAAAGCTTATATTGGACACCAACAGTCAGTGACAGTCCCGCTGTTTACCTTCCTTTCTAGAGATGTAGTTACACATAATTAGTTAATAATACCATGAGTGTGCCCGCTGTTTATGGTGTAATAGTGTTACAGGATTTTGTGGAAGGTGTGGGGTAAAGAGGGCACATTTTTTTCCTTGTCAAATATGTATAAACATTAAAGAGATTTAATTACATAGACACACTAAAAACTGGACTACGTGTTTGTGAAATGTTCTTTAGTAGCCAATGGTTTCTAAGTAGAATTTCCAAAACCTTGCTCTTTTGACATAGATGCAATTGCAAAATGAGAGGTTCATTGCAGGGTATAAACATCCGTAGATTTCAGACACACGTGGGCCTGAAATCTATAGAATTATTTTATGAAACTCTTCCAGGGAACATCAGTTCGGGGAAGGATGTAGTCAGTTCTCACAGGTAAAAGTGGACTAAAGGATCTTAGTGAAAACTTAATTTTCTCACTTGGTAATGCGTTGTTCAAATAGGTTAGCCACTATCCGCCCACACTTTCCAAATAGAACTTCCTAATTCCTCCTTTGAAAAGGAAACACTGACTTGATAGATCACTTCCTGTTTGTACACAGATAGAAAGGCTCAAGTGACCTCAAGACAGGATAAGCCCAATATGCTGGAGACAGGAAATCTTATTTCTGGGGGCTGAGGAAAGCTAGATGCTCTGTTACGTAATTCGGTTGGAATGCCACAAGAATGGTGACCCCCCAGAGTTGTGCAAGCCAGGAGGCCTGTACCAAATTTCTTTACAATTAGTGCAGTCTTGAAATGGTACATCAAACATGATTCTCAAGACTCTGAACTTTGCTGT